CATGAATGATAGCAACTTATTTCCCGCGGTTGCTTCCACTAAACGATCGATATGTGGGAGCGGAAAACTGTCTTTAGGGCAAGCTTTGTTCAGATCGGTGAAATCGACGCAGACTCTCCACTTGCCGTTCTTCTTTTTAACCACGACAGGATTTGCTAACCAGTCCGGATATCTTGCTTCAGAGATCGAGCCGATCTTCAGGAGCTTTTCTACTTCAGCGTTCACTGCATCTGCGCGATCCCGACCCAATTTTCTTCGCTTCTGCTTGATGGGCTTGAAAGATGGGTCAACATTCAGCTCGTGGCAGATTACGTCGATGCTTACTCCAGGTAGATCTTCGGCCGACCAGGCGAAGGTGTCGATGTTCTCTTTGAGGAATGAGATGAGCTCGGTCTTGATCTCCTCGGTTAAGTCGCTGCCAATTTCCACGCATCGTTCGGGCCGTTCGTCGTCGAGGCTAATGGAGATTACAGGATCCGAGGTAGGCTTCTTCTCCTTGCGCGCCTCCTCGATCTGTAATTGCTATAACTGTTTAGATATAGCCTTCTCTTCACTCCGGCCAAGTTTTGATTTCTTGTGATCCGTTTCAGCCCTCACTTCAGTGACAGGGTTTCGGAGTTTGTGTGCTGCCATGAAACACATCCGAGAATTTTTCTGACTGCCCCGGATCGTTTTCACGCCATTGGGGGTCGGGAATTTGACACACAGATGATATGTCGATGCGACAGCTCGCATTAGGTTTAACCACGAAGTTCCCATTATGACGTTGTAGATGGTAGGTCGATCGGTGACTGAGAAGTTGACTATCTTTGTTACCCCGCCGGCTCGGACTGGTAGTTGGATGGTTCCAAGCGTCATCAAAGTTTCCCCTGAAAATCCGAGGACAGGCCTCGGGGTCGGAATCACCTGTGACATGTCGATGTTCATTTGTTGGAGCGTTTCGCGAAAGATTACGTCGATGATGCTGCCGGTGTCAATTAATACTCGGTAAACATCATGGTCACCTATCGCTAATGTGACGACGATTGGATCGTTATGAGGCATGTCGAGCCCGTTTGTCTCGCTTTCTTCGAATGTGATCACGTCGTTAGGTCGATCGAAGCGTCTTGTCCAGTTGCTAGGCGTCTCGGCTCGGCGCTGATAAGCTTTGATTGCCGCTACGGTGTCAGGACAGTATGGCGATCCACCCATTATGGTAAAAACCTTCTGCCGCGTACCATCTCGGTCTTCGTCTTCCGTCCCTCGGGTTCTTTTCTAAGACTCCTGGTTCCTAGGTTCGGGATCTCTTCCCTGGTTGGTCTGCTCGGGCTCTGGCTCTGGCTCGAGGTCCTTAAGAGTAACGTTTGTCCCGAGCTCTCCAGCTAGGAATTTGGTTGCTAACTTGGCTCCGAGGCTTCGGCATCTCGAGGTATGATGGCCGAAAATTTTGTGGTGTTCGCAATATTCTTGATCGTTGCTCGGTGGCTAATCCCTCGTCCAAGTGAAGGACTCTCTTCCTCGCCCACGGCCTCGGCCTCTGCCGCGGCCACGGCCTCGGGGCGTGTCAATCTAGTAGCTATGGTATCCTGAGAAATTACGCCCTTCGTGATGCGTATACGTACCGCTCTCACGCGATTTCTTCTGGACCGGAGGTGTCGCTTGGGCTTTCTCGTTTTTCTCGGTTCGGGACGCCTGTTTTGTTGGCTCGTGCCTCTTTGCTAGTAGCGCCATTTCTTCTTCGTGGGCGACGAAATCCGAGGCTCGATGCAGCGCGTCGCGAATTGTTGTTGGTTTAGACAGGTTCAGCTCTTTCCTGAATTCTGACTTGTACCAGAGAGCTTTCTTCAAAGCCGAGAGAGCTGCTACATCTGTAATTCCTTCGACCTTGGCTAGCGTCGATTTGAAGGTCTTGAGGAAATCCCTTAATGGCTCGGTGGGCTGTTGAGACAAGGACCATAGATCCGCGTCGGAAGTTCCGGGGTCGATGAGCACGGAGTATTGTTTGAGGAACAATGTCGACAGCTCGTCGAAACTATCAATCGAGTTTCGTTCTAATTTTGAAAACCACTCTAATGCGGGTCCTTTGAGGTGTTCTACGAACAGTAGGCACAGCCCTGCATCCTTTTCCCTGGGTTTGAACCTGGCTCGGGCCACAGATATCACGAACGATTTAATGTGGCACTTTGGATCGGTTGATCCGTTGTAAGAGTCGATCTTGAACTTTCCCAGATTGGACATCGTCGTTTCGGAAATTCTTTTGGTGAAAGGTGTGTTCCGAGATTCTTCCAAAATTTGGTCGATGTTCGGTGCGGAGGACGAAACGCTATGTATCTGGGTTTTGACGAGCTTCATATCAGCTTCCGCCTTGGCTAGGGAGGCTCGGATCTTGCTTAGCTCGTCCTCTCTTTCAGATTCTTCGGCCCACCTTATGTTTTCCTCAGTTTCTTCATCGTCAGTGAGATCTGTTCGCTCGGCTGAGTTAGCTCCGGCTCGGGTACGCTCATCTTGCAGATCATCTGGTTCGTCCGTTAAATCCACTGCGTCTGGCTCGGTGGGATCATCTTGGTTCTCACGTCTGGCAGGGTCGGCTCGGGTTGCGACTCTGGTGTTGCCGGTTGGTGTCGCGAACGTGAGTCTTGTTGGGTTGATGCCAGGTAAATCCCTCCGAGCTCGTGGCGCCCGAGTCTGGAAACGCGTTGTTTTTGGTTGCCCACGAGTTGCGATTTCGTCGACTCGCTGCGTCAAGGTTTTGTTAGCTTTCTCTTGATCGTCAGCTTTCTTCTGGAATTTAACCATCAGGTCTTTCAGTTCGGCTAGAGTCGCTAAGATCGTCGGATCGGCTTGAGGATTCTGAGGGTTCGGGATCCCTCCTCCAGCTGGTGGTGTCTGACGACCATCTTCGTTCATCGTCCTTTTCAGTAATCGAGTTCTGAGTCTTAGGGTAAGAGAATTCTAAAGTATCCCCACAGACGGCGCCAAACTGTGGAAGTCGAAACTAACACAATCGAGATTTGTCTAGGGTTTTATTTTAGGGATACGATAATCGTGAATTCTCAAAGAACAACAGAAACGATTTGTAACCAAAGATGGTATTCTTGATATTATTAAGAAAAAGTTGACTTTGATCGTACAAGAGTTTGATCGTAAAAGGAAAAAGATGTTTGTGCTGTGAGAGCTTTGCGTAGTGTAAATTCTAGAGCGATATTGCCTCCCCTTTCCTTTGAGCCTTGAATCTCTTTATATAGGGATGATAAACCGCCTCTCCAGCGATATTCTCGGAAGATTTCTATTTATCTTGAAGTCGGCCAGAATATCGCGGATTAGGACAATTTCCTTATTCTTCGGAGTTTTCGGAAGATTTCCTGATTTGAGTTGATCCTTCGCGATTCTTCCTTATCATTTCCGAGTTTATCGGAAATGATCCTTCTTTTTCGGAAATGATAACTTGCTTGGAAATGATACCTTTAAAGAAGAGTATTTACTAAGTCTTTGCTTCGGGCGATGATGAAGACTTCGCCTCGGGGAACTTGTGCAACCGGCTCGGGGACAAGAGAGGCACGGTCCAGGTTCCCGAGGGAAAGCGGCTCGGGTTTACAGAAAGAGCCAACTCGGGGGTCTTGACACGAACCGGCTCGGTTCCTCGGAGTGAACCGGCTCGGGCACTTGAAGGGAGCCGGCTCGGGTTCACAAGCTTGCTGACGGACCCCGAGCAGACTACGGGTGTTCCCCGAGGCAACCAATGCAGTGACCCGAGGTGAATGGCAGCCTGACCCGAGGTGAATGGCGGTCTGACCCGAGGTGAATGGCAGCCTGACCCGAGGTGAATGGCAGTCTGACCCGAGGTGAATGGCAGCCTGACCCGAGGTGAATGGCAGTTTGCGCCGAGGTGTCTTCAGAAGTTCCCTGAGGCGTTCGAAGTTCGGCTCGGTGCTATGGGATGAAATCCGACCCCAACAAGTATATAACATTTTCAATAACATTTTCGAACTATATGAGTAAGATAATTCAAAATAACATTTTTTTATAAATTCGATTGATATAAAATGTTTTCAATGATATATCATTTTCATTAAAATTTTCAATAACATTTTTGATAACATGTTCGAATAATGGATTACTATATAACATTTTCAATAACATTTTCGAATGATAGATTAGTATACAACATTTTCGAATTATATTAATTGTGTAATCGTTTGAAGAAATATTTTTTTTGAATTATATGAATTATATAAACAAAATCTTTTAATATCTTTAAATCCGTTTGACCCGTTGACCCGTTAATATATATTAATGACATGGAATAAAATGATTATGATTAGAATTCTCTAATGGTATATATTGTAATTTCTTACAAAATCAACGTTATGATCCTTAGGATGTACTTTCCAAATATTAGTATAGGATCTCCCTCCAAATGTTAATTCAAAAGCCCCTCAAATATATTTATAATGCATTGTCAAATTTTATGATTCATCTTCCATTTTATTATTCCAATCTCCCTCCAAATGTAAATTTCAATTTCTAAGTCGTTGTAGAGACTAAATAAATTGGAACATTTTTTGGTTAATACTTTCTTTATAATATTTAAAGCTTTAAAATAATCTAATCATAATTTAATATGATTGAGCAGTTATAGCGACACTATTTAGAAAATATTAAATTTATTAACCAACAAAAATATATAAATAAGATCATAATTCAATCAAATTTTATGTAGGATGGGAGTAAAATATATAATTTTGATAAAATATATTCAAATTATTCTCATGCATCGCCTAAGTTTATGAAATTTGTAAAACTTTTGGAAAAGAAAATATCTAAAACATCCTATATAATGAATTAGAGGATTAACTTTGAACAATTGGTTTGAACTTATTAGTACTCTATATATGGAGTCTTTGGAGTAAAAAAAAAAAGATATTAGTTTCGAAAATGACGCAATCAATTGGTGCAAGATAACAGACTTCGTTACTTATAAGTTAGAGCATACACAATGGTAAACTTTGTGTATGGGTGTGAGTATTAAAATATTCAAAAGTAAGAGAACAGTGCACTTGGAATGCGTATGCGAGTGTTAGTTTACAACCGAGTGTGAGGGGCAGGTGTCTTTGTTTGGTTAGTTCTGATTTTTTTTATATTAAAAAATTGTTTTCATCTCTCCTCTCTGTTCCTTCGATGAAAACAATTTTTCATCTTTCCTCTGTTCCTCATCTCTCCTCTCTCCTCTCTAACTTTATTTTACTAATTTAATTTGCCTCACATCTATCTTCTTGAGTGCCGCACTGCTGATGCTCTTATAACATTAACCACACATTTAAATATAGGGAATTAAAATCTACCAGAAATAAAAATCTAGGTATGTACCACCGAGAAGACATTCTCGGACGAACCACTTGTGATGCTCGATGTTACGACGTTTTCACCCTTGGCCACGGCTCTCACACTCTCTATTAGCTCATTTGTTCTTCCATCTTCAGACAGAATCTGTAACAGCTCTTCAGTGTTTATGATCAGCTTCACTTTCCAAATTCCACCTTTGCTGATCGTACGTCTCCTCCTCGTCTTCTTCTCCTTCTGTCGGGTCCTTGTGTGGTTGTTTCTTGAGAAAACGTCCGTGTATGATCTCTTCAACACCCTGTGGTTGTAATCCAGAGACATTCTGTACGGAGTTATCGCTGGCAAGGACTCGCTGTTGGATCTCACGTGGCAGCTTCCCACAAAAGTCTTCAACTCGTCGGAGACAATATTGGGAAAGAGATAGTAGGACTGACCGGGCACGAGGAGGTGGTCGTGAGGCAGGGGTTTCCAGAGGAGATCAAGAGCCGAGAAAAGAGCATGGCCTGAGAATTCGTGGGAGACGTAGCCCGCGGTGACGGGGGAGTAGAACTCAAGAACTCCACCGTCGGATTTTATGACTTTGATTAATAAGTCTTCCTCTTCGTCGCCTAACCCTCCGAATAAACAGTTTCCCATGCTTGGTTTGTGTGCTCTTCTTGCCTACTCCATGCTCTCTCTCTCTATAGTCTAATTATAAAGGTCAGTGACGGTGAGTGACTAAGAGATTCCCCTATAATTCTTCTTATTTAAACTCTAAAAAGATAAAAACTATGTGAACATCAAAGGAAAATGCGGTGGAATCTTCTTTGCTTTTCATTATTTTTAATACTGCTATATAGCCTATAGCTTTCTTTTTTAGTAACTTTTTCTTTTGGAGACATGCTATTAATTAGTGTTAATTTATTTTGTTCTTTGGTGATGGATATATAATAAATCTAACATTAACAAAAAAAACATATAAGAAATTAACTTCAAGTGACCATAAACATACTCAATTATATAAAGCCACTCATTTTAATATTGTTGTACAAAAAAATCATTTTAATCTATATATATTTTTTGGTGTAATTTAATCTTTATATATATCTTAATTATACTTTCGTTTCTTCATTCCTAAAAGCATGGCAGAAGCAGAGATCCATTGTCAGTGGAACATTTTGAGTTGTGATATCCCAAAAGGAAAAAGAATTTGGCTATAAAGAATACATCGAGAAAAAAAAAAAAAAGAATACATCGAATCATATTATGTTAGACCAAGGGAGAAGAGAGAGAGAAAAAAGAAGAAGAGAATAAGTAAAAGAAAAGGCGTAAATGGGTCCATTCTACTCCTATTGAATCCTAAAATAACTAGTCCAAAAGAAAGAAAAGTCCAAGGTTCTACTTCTACGAAGAGATATCGGTCGGAGTCTCTTTCCAACTTTGCCTCTGACCCTATTTTGACGTCTAAGTCGGATTTTTGGCGCCAGAAGCTAATTCTACAAAGATCCACTTACCAATTTATCAAATATATTTAAACCAATTTTATAGTATCAATTTTCTACTTATATCTTCATTATTCAGCATGAATGGCTCATTGGCTATTAAATTTAAGGCCATTTTAGTAAAATGTTTTAAATGCCCTAACGTATGGCCCACACATTTTTAGTACTAAAACTAGCAGTTTTTGGTAAAAAAATTTCCACAAATCCATCACGAATGTAGTCGGTATGTGGTCATGATGGATTTGTTGTTACAATGTCAATTACGAGAAATTGTGATTTTCATCCCGTTGTTGTTAGTTTGGTAACACATTGCAATGAGTTTTGGGGACTAATGATCACATAAATTTTTAAAATTTGGTCGAAGAAGTAGCAACAATGAAATAAACATGAATTTACCATCGAAACAAGATGTTATCGCCAAAATATGTTGGTTTTACCACAAAACAAACATGCTTGATATATCTTTGGTTTAGAAAATAAAGATCCATGTGCACATGACAATGCATTACAAGAAAACATGCTAATTTGTAATTATAATCTTATGAGTTTCATTGCTATATATGAAATGGGAATCGTGATGTGACTTAGGCCTTGTGCTTTTGTATTTCGCTAGCGAGAGATCTGAGCGTCTGAAAATTACACTCACATCCTTTTTTTTTTTTTTTTTTTTTTTTTTTTTTTTCTGTCGTTGAATTTTTGATGTGAAAGAATTCTTTCTCGGGTGATTTAGGTGAATAACCAAAAAAAAGAAAAATTAGTTTTGTAGAAAGAAGGTAGAGAGAGATAGGGAGAGAAAGAGAGTGAATAGGGGGGTTAGAGGTTAGTTATTGAATTAAAGTTTTTTTGTTGGTTAGTTTTGCCAATTTCCCTTCTTTTTCTTTCTTCAGATTCTTTGTTATTGACGACGCTGCTGTCGCTAGATTAACCGGCGTCCATTTTAACCGACGCAGCGAGCAACTTTTCTTCGTTTTTAAGAGCATCTCCAATGGTAGACACCAATAGAGTGTCTCACCAATATAATATTAATATTTTTCTGTTTAATTTATTTAGAGAAACTCACACTAAAATTCTACTTCCATTGGTAAGATATCTCTATGGGTGTCTCATCAATATAATATTTATATTTTTATATTAAATTTAATTTTTCAATAACATTTTTAAACATATCAAATTATATTTTAAATATAGTCATTCAAAGGTATTGTACATAAAATTAATATTTTAATAAAAAATTAATATTAAATTTTAAACATATCATTTAATTATATTAGAAATTTTGTAAAACAATATGATTAAAATTACACATCATTTTATCAAATAGATTTTAATTATATTGGACATTTTGTAAATAATGACAAAAGATAACACATTATTTACCAAAATATCAAAATGTTGACAAAATATCAGATTATTCATCTCAGATTTATTTTCTAATATTATAGTATTTTATTAACTAAAAATATTAATTTATATTTATATTAACCTTAACTAATATCAATTAAAAATAATATTAATAAATAGTTTAAACTTTTGTATAATGGAGCTTGATATATAGATAATTTTATTTTATGAATTGTAGAAAAAAAATAATAACTTATAAACTATTTAATTGATATTAAAGATCTTAGAGTAATTGAATTTAAAAAGAAATTGTTAAACCAATCTAAGAGTGACATGTGTTTGAGAGAGAGAGTTTCTCAAATGAGAAATGTGTCTCAGCTTTTTTGATTAAAAAATTATTTTTTATTTATTTTTTATTTATTTTTTATTTATTTTTAATATGAGTGTCTCATGGAGACACTCCCAATGGAAGTGTTCTAACTGTCTCACATATAATTTGATTGCTGATTTAAATTTTAATTGAAAATAAAATAGTTTTTTTAGTCGCTTAGATCTGTCGCTAGCGACACACAAAAGAATTACAAGGTGTATATACTTACAAAATTTCTAGACACGATCTTAAGTAAATACAATTGTGAATAACAAGTATATTTGTACATCCCAATACGTCCCCTTAATTAAGACGGACCACAATTTACCAGTCTAATCTTGATAAAAAGAGATTCAAACCAATCATGGGATAACGATTTTGTGGCATATGTGAGTTGATGTGTACACGAGACATTGAAACTAAATATGTGCAATTTGTTTTAAAAGTTTGACAAGTTATTTTTTTTTGGCAAGGATAATTTTATTTTATTTATTATTATTATTATTTTTTAAATAATTTTATTAAAATTTTCTTCCTAAATGGGCATGGACCAAGGCCTACAACGAAAAAAAGAAATCCAGTTACAAAATAGGAACGTCGGAAATTCGCCGGAAAAACCAGAACGACTCGGCCCCTGTTGATCATCGTTCGCAGAGACACCAAACCTTAGATCTGGCGAAATCAAGGCTCACAACTTCGTGGCCGCATCAGAGGAATAAGATTGCCGGTGGAAGATTTCGGTTTCCGACAGCCCTCCTTTTCCTCCGATGAACCAACCCGCCACAAACCTCCCAGAAAGTTAGTGTCTCCGACGAGACGGTTCGACGGCGACGAATCCCGACCTAGCAACCCGTCACGCTTGGGGATATCCTCGCTCTTCCATCTCCGTGAAAATCCAGAATCCCTGAGATGTCAAGCCTCGATCCGGACAGTCGGCACACCCGATCCTGCGGATCTAAAGGACGGTGGCTCACCCTGTACCTTTAAATCCGACCCCCGCATCAGCCATCAAAGATCAAAGATCCTCCGCTAGCCACCTGTCAACACAACACAAAACCCACTTTACCTCTCGCCAACTTCCGCCGTGGACGCAGCATATGGGCCGGCGGTTGAGCCTGAGGAGCACCGACACAACTCCCAGCGTCCCTAACCGAGAGGCAACTGCATCAACACTCCTCCTCCGCCCTTCCAGAGCCACATCCACATCAGCAGGAGACACCACGCCACTGTTGTCGGAGAGATAAGACGACTCACTCCTGGACCACCTTCGAGAAACCTTCACCTTCGATTAAACCAGATTCACCGGAGAAACTAGATCTAGATCTAGAAAATCGCCTTCACGAGAGAGAATAGCTCGTGTATCGAGGCAACGATTGTGCCTTTCACAAGGATACTTTTATAGTGTAGAGTAAAATTTCTATTATTGAGTAAAGAGGTGAAAAACTCTTTTGATTATTACATACGTCTTATCATTCCTTGGCATACATATATAACCAAGATCTGAAGTTGGATCTGAAAACTTATATACATTCCCATCCATCCGCACTGTAGATTATTATTTGAAAAGTGTGAACGTACAAAATGAGACGATATTTACTTTGTAAGTTTGGAGACTTTTCTCTAGTATTATGGAGCCATGCGGGCAAGTCCAGTTTGTAAGTTGGGGACTTTTCTCTGTTATAGAGCCTTTTGGTGACATTAAGTGTGTTAGATATATACATACATTAGATGCTTCTTTTTCAATATTATCTGTTACAGAATGGAGCAGACAGACGAAAAACACGAGCATTAAATAGATGGGACATTCCATAGCCCACAAGCAATTTAACGAAAATTAAATGAGAAATGGATGGGTCAAAATTGGATCACTCGAAAAACTGAGAAAAAAAAAATACGTAAGGAGTTGAAACGGAACGTGGACTATGTCAGCCCGAAGAACACTTTTAATGACTATATGGCCCCATGCAGGACCATTTCCCTCTTTTTTTTTTTTTGATGTTAGATTCATATTATTCTCTTCCGTTTTGCCTAAACTCGAACTCATAACCGTCTACCTCCTCTATTAAGATTACCATATGCATGTACATAAACTGGTTTAATACGTTGGATATCTTAACCTATTTCTTACTCACTTAACTTTTGTGTGTGTGTGTGCAAGTGTATTACTATATAAAGAGTAAAATAGATGCATATATTGTTAAAAATATCACATCAAAAATGGAGACGATTTATAAAAGATAGAAGTTTGTTTCTTTCACTCATTGTTAATTAATTTTGAATTAAAAAATCATAATTTCACACATAAACCTATATATGTATTACTTAAAAAGGTAAAATTTGATACGAGATGAATAAACAAAAAAAAATCACCATTTAAAATGGACATGTTAAAATATCTCATATTAGAAGTAGAGATGATTTTATATTAATATATAAATGTTCACTTATTGTCAATTAGTATTGATGAGTCGAAAATCTTTCTACGACATGCATTGATTCAACTATTATCTCTCACATCATGCATTACATTAGCTTGGGATTGCATCGTTGATTAGTGTATGCATATGCCATCTTCTTCATTAGAGATTTTTTATAAAAATAAATGCAATTATAACAATTTGATTGGATATGTCTTGTCATTTAGTTGCGGAAAAATATTGACGTCTCTTCTTGTCTGAAGTCTTGTTAGTGTATAACTGGAAAGTCCGTATTGGAGTTTAACAAAAAAGAAAAAGAAAAAAAGAGAAGACTTTTAGTTAGATCCTACCGTTTAACATTTATGACCTTAATATATATATCTGGTGAGACATTCTGCTATATATGCAGTTTCAACTTTCAAAGCCAATAATAAACTAAGGAGAGATAATATGGAAACACAAGGCAAAGTAATCACTTGCAGAGGTAATTTGTTGTGTATATATGCATGTGTAAAGCTAACTTAAAGATGATGATGAGTGAGCGTGAATGATGAATATTGAACAGCTGCTGTGGCATGGGGAGCTGGAGAACCTCTAGTGATGGAAGATGTAAAAGTGGATCCTCCTCAAAGATTGGAAGTGAGACTTCGAATCCTCTTCACTTCCATCTGTCACACTGATCTTAGCGCATGGAAAGGCGAGGTACTCACTCTTCATGTTCTTTCTTTCAATTATTTCTTCAATTCTTCCTATCTCATCTCTCTATCTTTTGGTCAGAACGAGTCTCAGCGAGCATACCCTCGAATCCTTGGCCATGAGGCGGCAGGGTAAGTCGAATAAAATCTGTATGGATCTCATTTTTCATCCCTCAATTGATGGATAAATTACAGGATAGTGGAGAGCGTAGGGGAAGGAGTGGAAGAGATGAAGGCAGGAGATCATGTGCTCCCTATTTTCACAGGAGAGTGTGGAGATTGCAGAGTCTGCAAGCAAGACGAAGCCAATCTGTGCGAGAGATTCCGAGTAGATCCGATGAAGAAGGTGATGGTAACCGATGGAAAGACCAGATTCTTCACAAGCAAAGACAACAAACCCATCTACCATTTTCTCAACACATCCACCTTCTCCGAGTACACGGTCATAGACTCGGCTTGCGTGCTCAAGGTGAACCCTCTGTTTCCTCTGGAGAAGATAAGCCTCCTCAGCTGCGGTGTCTCCACTGGTAATTAGTTAATTGCATCTCTGTATACTGTATATATGACATGCATGATATATGTGGTTTGCTTATTTAATGAAAGAGATAAGTGTTTATGGAATGAAGGAGTCGGTGCGGCGTGGAATGTGGCTGATATTCAACCTGGCTCCACCGTCGCTATATTTGGACTTGGCGCTGTTGGACTTGCCGTAAGTTCAGGTTCCTCTTCGTTGTATCACCATGGAATTGGTTACACATAGACTCTCACTCTTAATGCCTTGTTAATAATTGGGGAAAAGGTGGCTGAAGGTGCAAGAGTCAGGGGAGCCTCTAAAATCATTGGGATCGACGTCAACCCTGACAAGTTCCCATTAGGTATGGAGATGAACATGCATGTCAGTCTAAAAGAGGTTAAAGAGAAATGTTCCTAAACGAAGTGTGCTTGCTGTGTGAACAGGCAGAGAAGCAGGGATCAGTGAATTCATAAATCCAAAGGAGAGTGACAAGGCAGTTCATGAGAGAGTAAGGGAGATAACAGAGGGAGGAGTGGAGTGCAGCTTTGAGTGTGCGGGAAGCATAGAAGCACTTAGAGAAGCCTTTCTGTCTACTAACTCAGGAGTGGGAGTGACAGTGTTGCTGGGCGTTCACGCAAGCCCACAGCTTCTTCCTATCCATCCCATGGAGCTCTTCCAAGGCAGATCCATCACCGCCTCTGTTTTCGGAGGCTTCAAACCCAAAACCCAATTACCCTTTCTCATCACCCAATGCCTCCAAGGTCTTCTCAATCTCGATCTCTTCATCTCTCACCAGCTTCCATTCCACGATATCAACAAAGCCATGCAGCTGCTTCACCAAGGCAAAGCTATTCGTTGCCTTCTCCGCCTCTGAATAGAAACATCCTTTTCATTTTCCAAGTCTGTGTGATTATTGTACTGCTTTCAGAGTTTCCTTATTGGGTCTGGTCCACCCCCCATACTAAAATAAAAGTTGGAAATGTTTTCAAGGCCTCATCTTTCTCCAACTTGTCTACGGCTTGCATCTACAACTTGCTACTTACAACTACAAAACACACAAGTTAATGCAGCGGTAAGATAGCAAAACAAGGTTTCAAGGATCAATGGATCTTGAAACAAGGTTTTGTGCTTTGAATTCTTTGTAAAACAGAGAGAATTCGAAGACTTCAATGTGAGGGAAACCTCTTTTCTTATTCAATAAAAACCAACTCTCTTAAGAGAGATTACAAAGCTTTATATAGGTGTCAATAAACCGTCATAAGAAACACTCTAAGACCTAATTGCAGAGCTCAAAGAAATAGAAATTAAACATAAAAGAAAAATTCAAACATAAAGGAAAACTTCTAAAACGATACAACGCATCAGCAACCTTGTTAAGTGTACCAGCAGTATGCTTAATAACAAAAGAGAATTGTTGTAAATATGCAAACCAAGAAGCATGTCGTCTTCTTACAAATGGGACCAAATGCTTAACATTAAAGACGTCGGCTGTGTTCATGTGTGGAGGAAGCTTGAGGCGATATGCATTGTTATTAATCTTCTCCAATATCTCAAGAGGGCCGATCTTTCTTGCTTTGAGCTTGTTGTAAGTTCCTGCCTTGAAACGATCCTTGGTTAGCACAGCCCACACTAGATCTCCAACCTTGAATTGAACGTCACGTCGATGCAAATCAACTGCAGATTTATACTTTGTTGTGGCTGTTTCCAAATTAGAATGAACTTGATCATGAATTGCAGCAAATTCTTCGACAAAATCACAAGCTCGACCATGAAAACGGGTACGATCTGGACTAATAGCTAGATCCGCAGGACAACGAGGTAAATAGCCACAAACCACTTGAAAAGGACTAAAACCTGTACTACGGTTAACAGCTCGGTTATGAGCAAATTCAGCCTGACAAAGTACCAAATCCCATGATTTGATATGATCTCCAACTAAGCATCTCAACAAATCGCCTAAAGCTCTGTTAGTAACTTCAGTTTGGCCATCCGTTTGGGGGTGATAGGCTGAACTCATGTCTAGTTTTGTGCGCAAAAGTCGCCAAAGAGATCGCCAAAAGTGACTCAAAAAGCGCGAGTCTCGATCCGAAACAATAGACAAAGGCAAGCCGTGAAGCTTATAAACCTCGCGAAAAAACAAAACAGCTACTTGCATTGCATCTGTCGTCTTCTTACAAGGAATAAAATGCACCATCTTGGAGAAACGATCAACGACGACAAAGATCGAGTCATTACCTTTTTGCGTTCTAGGTAAACCAAGCACAAAATCCATACTCACGTCTGTCCACGGCTGTGTGGGAATTGGGAGAGGAAGATATAAACCAGAATTGGTTGCTTTCCCCTTAGCTGCTTGACAAATTCCACAACGCACAATAAACCGTTCTACATCTCGGCGTAACGTGGGCCAAAAGTAAGAAGATCTAACCAATTTCAACGTACGATCTCTTCCGATGTGGCCTTCACCATGAAGCTCACGAATTAGATGTAGCCTCAAACTACACTCAGGAATGCATAATTGAGCACCACGAAACAAAAAGCCATCATAAATCACATAAACAGTACCGATTCCCAGCTCCGTATCTCTCCAAATTTTGCCAAAAAATGGATCAGTTGGGTACAAGTCCAGGGACGGAGACGTGTAAGGTTGTTAACAGAACATGTCTTCTACTCAACGCATCAGCAACCTTGTTAAGTGTACCAGCAGTATGCTTAATAACAAAAGAGAATTGTTGTAAATATGCAAACCAAGAAGCATGTCTTGCGGAGACTTTATCTTGAGAGCCCATGTGTTTAAGAGCGTCATGATCGGTGTAGAGAACAAATTCGCGATGAAAGAGGTAGTGACGCCAATGCTTAACAGCTTGTACGACGGCATAAAGCTCGACATCGTAAGTACTATACCGTTCACGAGATCCTGCAATTTTTTCACTAAAAAAAGCAACTGGACGACTTGATTGACTTAAGACTGCTCCGATTCCTGCTTTAGACGCATCACAGTGTAATTCAAAAGCAATATTGAAATCGGGAAGGATAAGAACCGGGGCAGAGGTTAGCTTTGTTTTGATTTCTTGAAACGCCATCTCTGCTTCCTTGGTCCAACAAAAAGAGTCTGACTTCATACAGTCCGTTACCGGTGCCATGATGCTGCTAAAGTGATAAAGCTAGCCCATGGAAACTACGCACATCAGTCACTGTCCGAGGAGTAGGCCATGATTGTATAGCTGAAATCTTTGTTGGATCCGCTTCTAAGCCTCGTGAAGAGATAATGTAGCCCAAAAAAAGCACTTGTTCAACACCAAACACACACTTTTTTGTAGCAGCAAACAACTTCTCTCGTCGCAACACAAGTAAAACGTCACGTAGGTGAGTGAGATGTTCGGTCAGAGATGCACTAAAGATGAGTATATCATCGAAATAAACAACTACAAAACGTCCAATAAATGGCCGCAAAGCTTCATTCATCACTCGCATGAACGTACTTGGAGCGTTCGATAACCCAAAAGGCATTACAAGCCACTCAAACAATCCTTCTCGCGTTTTAAAGGCTGTTTTCCACTCGTCACCCGGTCTGATTCGGATCTGATGATAACCGCTACGAAGATCTAATTTTGTAAAAATAGAGGTTGCTCCAATTTGGTCTAAGAGATCATCTAGACGCGGGATAGGAAATCTGTAGCGAATAGTAATTTTGTTAATCGCTCTGCTGTCTACACACATACGCCAAGATCCATCCTTCTTGGGGATAAGCAAAGCGGGAACTCCACAAGGACTTAAGCTCTCACGAATATATCCCTTAGCCAAAAGATCTTCAACTTGTTTCCGCAGTTCATCGTGTTCTTTAGGGCTCATACGGTAATGTGGTCGATTTGGCAACACCGTGTTAGAGGCTAGATCGATACAATGTTGAATACCTCTTAATGGTGGTAGACCCTCTGGTAATTCATCAGGAAACACGTCTTGAAATTCAGTCAAAACTCCATAAAAATCTGTTGGTGCGTATGAAATTAAGGACAAAATCTGCGGCTTGAGAAGCAGAAAAAAGACTATGTCTGTTGTTTGAAATTCTTCAAAAATCTGCGACTTGGAAACTAACAACGCTGGTTTTGTAGTTTCAATTGGGAGCGGAGAAGACTCAACAGGTTTACTTATGACTAGCGGCTCTGAAGCAGTCTGAGATGGTAATAAAGTGATACGCTTACCCTCATAAAGAAAACTATGTGTGTTTGCAAACCCATCGTGCATAGTTCTTCGATCATACTGCCATTGGCGTCCTAAACCCTAAACCCTAAACCCTAAACCCTAAACCCTAAACCCTAAACCCTAAACCCTAAACCCTAAACCCTAAACCCTAAACCCTAAACCCTAAACCCTCGAATCCTTGGCCATGAGGCGGCAGGGTAAGTCGAATAAAATCTGTATGGATCTCATTTTTCATCCCTCAATTGATGGATAAATTACAGAATAGTGGAGAGCGTAGGGGAAGGAGTGGAAGAGATGAAGGCAGGAGATCATGTGCTCCCTATTTTCACAGGAGAGTGTGGAGATTGCAGAGTCTGCAAGCAAGACGAAGCCAATCTGTGCGAGAGATTCCGAGTAGATCCGATGAAGAAGGTGATGGTAATTGATGGAAAGACCAAATTCTTCACAAGCAAAGACAACAAACCCATCTACCATTTTCTCAACACATCCACCTTCTCCGAGTACACGGTCATAGACTCGGCTTGCGTGCTCAAGGTGAACCCTCTGTTTCCTCTGGAGAAGATAAGCCTCCTCAGCTGCGGTGTCTCCACTGGTAATTAGTTAATTGCATCTCTGTATACTGTATATATGACATGCATGATATATGTGGTTTGCTTATTTAATGAAAGAGATAAGTGTTTATGGAATGAAGGAGTCGGTGCGGCATGGAATGTGGCTGATATTCAACCTGGCTCCACCGTCGCTATATTTGGACTTGGCGCTGTTGGACTTGCCGTAAGTTCAGGTTCCTCTTCGTTGTATCACCATGGAATTGGTTACACATAGACTCTCACTCTTAATGCCTTGTTAATAATTGGGGAAAAGGTGGCTGAAGGTGCAAGAGTCAGGGGAGCCTCTAAAATCATTGGGATCGACGTCAACCCTGACAAGTTCCCATTAGGTATGGAGATGAACATGCATGTCAGTCTAAAAGAGGTTAAAGAGAAATGTTCCTAAACGAAGTGTGCTTGCTGTGTGAACAGGCAGAGAAGCAGGGATCAGTGAATTCATAAATCCAAAGGAGAGTGACAAGGCAGTTCATGAGAGAGTAAGGGAGATAACAGAGGGAGGAGTGGAGTGCAGCTTTGAGTGTGCGGGAAGCATAGAAGCACTTAGAGAAGCCTTTCTGTCTACTAACTCAGGAGTGGGAGTGACAGTGTTGCTGGGCGTTCACGCAAGCCCACAACTTCTTCCTATCCATCCCATGGAGCTCTTCCAAGGCAGATCCATCACCGCCTCTGTTTTCGGAGGCTTCAAACCCAAAACCCAATTACCCTTTCTCATCACCCAATGCCTCCAAGGTCTTCTCAATCTCGATCTCTTCATCTCTCACCAGCTTCCATTCCACGATATCAACAAAGCCATGCAGCTGCTTCACCAAGGCAAAGCTATTCGTTGCCTTCTCCGCCTCTGAATAGAAACATCCTTTTCATTTTCCAAGTCTGTGTGATTATTGTACTGCTTTCAGAGTTTCCTTATTGGGTCTGGTCCACCCCCCATACTAAAATAAAAGTTGGAAATGTTTTCAAGGCCTCATCTTTCTCCAACTTGTCTACGGCTTGCATCTACAACTTGCTACTTACAACTACAAAACACACAAGTTAATGCAGCGGTAAGATAGCAAAACAAGGTTTCAAGGATCAATGGATCTTGAAACAAGGTTTTGTGCTTTGAATTCTTTGTAAAACAGAGAGAATTCGAAGACTTCAATGTGAGGGAAACCTCTTTTCTTATTCAATAAAAACCAACTCTCTTAAGAGAGATTACAAAGCTTTATATAGGTGTCAATAAACCGTCATAAGAAACACTCTAAGACCTAATTGCAGAGCTCAAAGAAATAGAAATTAAACATAAAAGAAAAATTCAAACATAAAGGAAAACTTCTAAAACGATACGACTTGTGAAACACGTAACGAGATGACGCTACATCAGGTCTCCCGGAGTGAGAAGAAAATTCGACCCCGAATTTTGACTATCATCAGCATCATCTTCAGCAATAAATGGGACCAAATGCTTAACATTAAAGACGTCGGCTGTGTTCATGTGTGGAGGAAGCTTGAGGCGATATGCATTGTTATTAATCTTCTCCAATATCTCAAGAGGGCCGATCTTTCTTGCTTTGAGCTTGTTGTAAGTTCCTGCCTTGAAACGATCCTTGGTTAGCACAGCCCACACTAGATCTCCAACCTTGAATTGAACGTCACGTCGATGCAAATCAACTGCAGATTTATACTTTGTTGTGGCTGTTTCCAAATTAGAATGAACTTGATCATGAATTGCAGCAAATTCTTCGACAAAATCACAAGCTCGACCATGAAAACGGGTACGATCTGGACTAATAGCTAGATCCGCAGGACAACGAGGTAAATAGCCACAAACCACTTGAAAAGGACTAAAACCTGTACTACGGTTAACAGCTCGGTTATGAGCAAATTCAGCCTGACAAAGTACCAAATCCCATGATTTGATATGATCTCCAACTAAGCATCTCAACAAATCGCCTAAAGCTCTGTTAGTAACTTCAGTTTGGCCATCCGTTTGGGGGTGATAGGCTGAACTCATGTCTAGTTTTGTGCGCAAAAGTCGCCAAAGAGATCGCCAAAAGTGACTCAAAAAGCGCGAGTCTCGATCCGAAACAATAGACAAAGGCAAGCCGTGAAGCTTATAAACCTCGCGAAAAAACAAAACAGCTACTTGCATTGCATCTGTCGTCTTCTTACAAGGAATAAAATGCACCATCTTGGAGAAACGATCAACGACGACAAAGATCGAGTCATTACCTTTTTGCGTTCTAGGTAAACCAAGCACAAAATCCATACTCACGTCTGTCCACGGCTGTGTGGGAATTGGGAGAGGAAGATATAAACCAGAATTGGTTGCTTTCCCCTTAGCTGCTTGACAAATTCCACAACGCACAATAAACCGTTCTACATCTCGGCGTAACGTGGGCCAAAAGTAAGAAGAACTAACCAATTTCAACGTACGATCTCTTCCGATGTGGCCTTCACCATGAAGCTCACGAATTAGATGTAGCCTCAAACTACACTCAGGAATGCATAATTGAGCACCACGAAACAAAAAGCCATCATAAATCACATAAACAGTACCGATTCCCAGCTCAGTATCTCTCCAAATTTTGCCAAAAAATGGATCAGTTGGGTACAAGTCCAGGGACGGAGACGTGTAAGGTTGTTAACAGAACATGTCTTCTACTCAACGCATCAGCAACCTTGTTAAGTGTACCAGCAGTATGCTTAATAACAAAAGAGAATTGTTGTAAATATGCAAACCAAGAAGCATGTCTTGCGGAGACTTTATCTTGAGAGCCCATGTGTTTAAGAGCGTCATGATCGGTGTAGAGAACAAATTCGCGATGAAAGAGGTAGTGACGCCAATGCTTAACAGCTTGTACGACGGCATAAAGCTCGACATCGTAAGTACTATACCGTTCACGAGATCCTGCAATTTTTTCACTAAAAAAAGCAACTGGACGACTTGATTGACTTAAGACTGCTCCGATTCCTGCTTTAGACGCATCACAGTGTAATTCAAAAGCAATATTGAAATCGGGAAGGATAAGAACCGGGGCAGAGGTTAGCTTTGTTTTGATTTCTTGAAACGCCATCTCTGCTTCCTTGGTCCAACAAAAAGAGTCTGACTTCATACAGTCTGTTACCGGTGCCATGATGCTGCTAAAGTGATAAAGCTAGCCCATGGAAACTACGCACATCAGTCACTGTCCGAGGAGTAGGCCATGATTGTATAGCTGAAATCTTTGTTGGATCCGCTTCTAAGCCTCGTGAAGAGATAATGTAGCCCAAAAAAAGCACTTGTTCAACACCAAACACACACTTTTTTGTAGCAGCAAACAACTTCTCTCGTCGCAACACAAGTAAAACGTCACGTAGGTGAGTGAGATGTTCGGTCAGAGATGCACTAAAGATGAGTATATCATCGAAATAAACAACTACAAAACGTCCAATAAATGGCCGCAAAGCTTCATTCATCACTCGCATGAACGTACTTGGAGCGTTCGATAACCCAAAAGGCATTACAAGCCACTCAAACAATCCTTCTCGCGTTTTAAAGGCTGTTTTCCACTCGTCACCCGGTCTGATTCGGATCTGATGATAACCGCTACGAAGATCTAATTTTGTAAAAATAGAGGTTGCTCCAATTTGGTCTAAGAGATCATCTAGACGCGGGATAGGAAATCTGTAGCGAATAGTAATTTTGTTAATCGCTCTGCTGTCTACACACATACGCCAAGATCCATCCTTCTTGGGGATAAGCAAAGCGGGAACTCCACAAGGACTTAAGCTCTCACGAATATATCCCTTAGCCAAAAGATCTTCAACTTGTTTCCGCAGTTCATCGTGTTCTTTAGGGCTCATACGGTAATGTGGTCGATTTGGCAACACCGTGTTAGAGGCTAGATCGATACAATGTTGAATACCTCTTAATGGTGGTAGACCCTCTGGTAATTCATCAGGAAACACGTCTTGAAATTCAGTCAAAACTCCATGAAAATCTGTTGGTGCGTATGAAATTAAGGACAAAATCTGCGGCTTGAGAAGCAGAAAAAAGACTATGTCTGTTGTTTGAAATTCTTCAAAAATCTGCGACTTGGAAACTAACAACGCTGGTTTTGTAGTTTCAATTGGGAGCGGAGAAGACTCAACAGGTTTACTTATGACTAGCGGCTCTGAAGCAGTCTGAGATGGTAATAAAGTGATACGCTTACCCTCATAAAGAAAACTATGTGTGTTTGCAAACCCATCGTGCATAGTTCTTCGATCATACTGCCATTGGCGTCCTAAAAGAATATGACACGCGTCCATAGGCACGACATCACAACAAACCCGACAACGTCTTGAAATGCGTATATCCGTAGATGAGGTGAGCCAAGCAATCTTGTAAGGAGATGGGTGTGGTTCGGTAAACAAGGCTAGTTTGGTGACAGCTTCCTCTGAAATAGCATTCGTGCAGCTGCCCGAGTCAATAACCAAACGACAAACTTTACCACGTATCGTACAAGTTGATTGAAAAATATTTGATCGAAGCCAAGATTCTTCAATTCCATGTGGAATAAGATAATTCATGCGAAGCACTAACAAGGTACCCGAATCTCCCACCACTTTCTCTTCACACTCATCAGCCACCTCTGTATCATCATCATATTGATCAAATATGGGTTCATCTGCTGCTAACAACCCGCGGCGTTGAATATTGGGGCAGTTAGATTGGCGATGCCCTGTTTCGCCACATTTAAAACACTTGAAAGTTGCAGGTTTTTGATGTCCCAAAGACGAATTTCCTTCCAAAGCATCTGAAATTTTTGATTGCTCCAATCACTTAACAAGACCAGATTCTGTTGTCGATGATAAGCGAGCACGCTGAGCATTCCACGTATTTGTTTGACTTCGTGAGTTCTGTTCAATCAAGAGGGCACGTTGATGAGCTTCCGAAACAGTAAGAGGATCAAACTGAAGTAAAGTGCTTTGAATTTGCGACCGTAATCCTCCGATAAAACGTGACACCCTTTGTTCTTCATTCTCCGTCAATGAATTACGTGCCATTAATGAAAAAAAATCTGCAGCATATTCATCCACAGATTTACTCCCTTGTCTTAAATTCTGTAATTTCGTGTACAAGGTACGAGTGTAATTGTAAGGCAAAAAAGCTTTTCTCATTAATTTCTTCAATTTTTCCCATGATACGAGCTTTTCCTTCCCTGCTTGAGCACGAGAAGCTTTCAATTGCTGCCACCACGCTGAAGCTCGACCTCGAAAACGCGTTGCCACCAGAGACACACGCATATGATCAGGGACTTCTTTGAATTCCAACAGCTCCTCTGTTATGTTAATCCAATCAAGGAAGTCTTCAGATTGAAGCCCACCCGTAAACTCTGGTAATTCAAGCTTAAAACCCGACTCCCATCTTCTATTATCCCCTTGTGGGACTGCGATGATGTCACGCTGTTGGCGAGCACCACGTTGATTCTGTTCACCCAACGGTGCAAAGTGATTGACAAAGACGTTATCTTCCTCTTCATCGTCGTCGTCAAAGAGTGGTTCTTCTCAGGGCCGGCCCAGAGGGCAAGCCACCGAAGCCACCGATTAGGGCCTCAAAATTTGAGAGCCTTTTTACCTAAAAATTTGTTAAGTTTTCTTATATACAATATTTTTTGTAGGGCCTTTTAAAAATATTGTTGGCTTTTAGAGACAACTACAACATTCTTTTTAATGGTAAAAATCTAATTTAAAAGAATTTTTTTTTTATGACTTTAATTTTGCTTAGGGCACCCAAATTTACCGGGCCGGCACTGGTTCTTCTTGACGTGGTAACACCGGAGCTGCGTTTTGTTGACCTTGAGCAAGAGTTCTCACGGCAGATTCCATGGTAGTACGCAAAGTATCACTCAAACTCTGCTGAAACTCAGTCATCATCAATCTAAACGCATCGTTGTGCTCCTCTAGTGTCGCTTGAAGGCTCTTCTTTGGCGGCATGACTAGGATTCGTTTGTCTCTGATACC